TGTTTAAACTGGCAAAGCTTACATGAGTTTAGTTTAAACACAGATATCAACGTGTGCTGTTCAGGTCTCACCTGTGCGCGCGCGCCTCAGCACCCGGGTGATGACGGAATAAATGCTCATATTCCAGCATACGCCATTCGCATTGAACAAGAGTGAATGGTTTGTCCACGTTTTTTTTTTCCATCGCTGTTGTTGTAATGTACTGGGAAGCCAGAATGCGATTCCATCAACAGAAACAGCCGAACCCTGTTTGTTTTACGTGTTATTTATAGCAAACCATATAGGCCTATTACAGATGCGTTGTCAGCTTTAAGTTGAACCGCGGTCCTAGCGCGTGCCGAACCGTGTGTGGAGAACCGTACGGTTCGATTTTTTTCTGCGAACCGTTCCACCCCTAGTTGGAAGTTAAAAATGATTTAATGATGGATTAGTTTATTATAAACGCGCAACCTTTCACTTCACAAGACGTTAACTGATGGACTGGAGTCGTGTGGATTACTTGTGGATTGTGATGTTTTTATCAGCTGTTTGGACTCTCATTCTGACGGCACCCATTCACCCATGTTGTTCTGAACAACAAAAATTACATTTGTTTTAGCTTCCGTTCACTACTATAGAATTTTACCCAAGTTTCAGACATTTCTGAAAACCACGGAAATGTGAAAAGCGTCCATAGTGTGACAAATTAAAACCTTGCATATACACTCTAAAAAATTAAATACAACCCAGTGCTGGGTAAAATAGGGACAAACCTAGCAATTGGGTTGTTTTGACCCAGCGGTTGGGTTACTACCCAGAAGGTTGGGTTAAACATTTAACCCAACCGCTGGGTCAAAACAGCCCAATTGCTGGGTTTGTCCCTATTTTACCCAGCACTGGGTTGTATTTAACCCAGCATTTTTTAGAGTGTAGGAATTCACAAGGAAAAAATGCTGTAACATAGGCTAAATTAGCTAATGATTCCCCTATCGTCCTCTACATGCTAACCTTATATCTAAATATGTTACTACTAATATTAAACGCACGTGTTTGTGTTGACTGACACATAAATATCAATAGCTTCCACGTCGGCTCTGCCTGCTGCATTTGCTCCTCTATCTACTGTCGTAACTCCCTGCAGAGAGCCGCTGGGCTTTCTCAACAGAGAGCGTCTGATTACAATAATATGATAATGATCATTTTACTGCAGGCTCTGATTATAATTACAGAGGGATCTGTCTGGCCTCGGTTGCATCATCACTGTTTGTTGTTGTTTTTTCCTTCATATTTTGTAATTAGTCTCAGTGTTTTTGTGTGTGAAACAGGGTGTTTAATATGTGTGCAGAATATGAGCAGTGAGTATATTCTGGGAATATGTTTGTTCTGTGCACAAATAAATACCTATTTAGGTAGACTGTGCCAAGACTGAGCTTAAAGAAGACATGCATGAATACATCATTGGTCCTTACAGCCATCCTGCTGGATACGGGCACAATATTCCTGCAGATAATAACGAGAGAGAGAGAGAAAAAATACTGCTAAATATAAATGATTATTAATTAAATGTTGAGTGTTTATTTTAAGACTGTACTTTTTATATTTTATGTTATTATGTGAGATACACATACAGTAAATGGATGACAGTGGATGTCATTACACTAATTGTTCAGTAGATGGCGGACTAAACACACGCTTTTAAATCAGAAATTAAAGCTCAGTTAATTTGTAACACTTGTTAAAGTTGTAAGTACACCATATAGTAATTATTATTATCCATATAATGGATTTAAGGACAAATACGGACAAATGCAGGACAATTCACTGAACAAGAATGAAAGAGCAAGAGGTGTTTAAGAGGCGTTCATATTTCATAGGTAGCGTATGTAAAAAGAAGTGCCCTTTTCAAACTAAAATCTTTACGCATTTGACATTACAATGAGCTGCATTTTGTCAAACCTCATCTGCATTGGCCGCAAGCGCCGCGACAAACCACAATATTAAGCGAAACTCTCTCACAGAAATGGAATGATCTGATAGAATGGAGACTGTGTAAACTGAAACAAAATTACGAAAAGGGCGGGGCTTGATAGCCCGGAATTTGTGTCAGGTAAAATGCATCCAAACAATAATTCTTATATTTAACGCTTGACTTCGTATTTTCAATTCACATACATTATTAAAATTTCTTAGTATCATTATTCAGTAGTAAATAATTAATGCCCAGACTTAATGTCCGCTTCTGAGGCGCCAAAAAAGTGTTGTCACGTGGTACGTGTTACTTTTCACCGCGGTATTTAGGATGGATTAATCGCAGTCGTTTGCGATGTCATTTCTTTCCATGTAATTATTAGAGATTGCTGGTTCGGATTTTTTTATTTGTATTTCAGGTGCCAGTGCTTGGAATGAATACATTTGAACGATTAAACGTTCTGGTGTACAAATGCCTCTATTAAATCAAAACATATTCTAAGATTTGAATGAAGTTAAACGGAGGACTGAGCTTTCTGAGCCCCGAAGCGCCCCCTGCGGAAAAAAACGGTTTTATTGCACACATAAAACATATTGGGCAGCATTTGCCGCTCAACAGACGCGACGCGACGCGACAAAACCACAACGCTCCTATTATAATCAACGAGGCGGCGCGCTCGCGCTACCGAGAGCTCGCAGATTATAATGGGCGCGTCTGGTTTAGTCGCGTCGCTTGATGGGTATCATTGGTCGGTCTCCTCCTCTCAATCAGTGTGATCAGATGTGATCTGGCACCTGTGTGTGCGCGTTACCCACGGGAGCCTGTTGCTCATGAGTGTTGTGGAGCGATCTGCTTCTGTGCTGTGTGAGATTATGCGCGCAACTGCACGATAACGATCATGTTTTGCGTCTTTGCGCGTTAATGACGATGAAGAGGACGCTTTTTGGGTAGATGCAATTTTTGTGTTTCTTCATAATTCTCATCCTCAGCCAGCATCTGATGAAGTTTGGGCGCGTTTTAGATGCACTATGTGATGCATTTGTGATATAGTCACCGGCGCGTCTTGAGAAGAACATCGAAAGCAAGATCCTCGTTATTTGTTTTCCGCGATGTCAATCAAAAAAGCAACATTGATGGAGAATGGGGTTAAAAACGGAACGTCGAGAAATGTGCTGGAGCGATGCGCCTCGGTCAACGAGTATTTTGATATTGCCTTCAAGGTGTGAGTTATATTTTATTTAGTTTATTGCTGGTGTCATGATTTGTATTGTTGTTGTGTCTGAAAAATCTGCCCAGCGTTAGTTGGCACCTGTGGCGCGCGCGTGCGTCTTCTACTCGGAAATCACTTTTCAAGAATGCAAAGGCATGTTCACAGCCATGCAACTGTCTGAATTCACGTTAAATGGCTGCAGACATGTCGTTTTGCATGCAAATTTAATAATAGTTCACTGTCTAATGGTACAATATAGCAGTGGTTCTTCAAAACTGGTTTTGCGTTTGGACCAAAGTGGTGACTAAACGCAGTATAAAAATGACTGATTCTACAAAAGTAAAGAAAATAGTCATTCAAATTATATTCAACTTAGCAAAATTATTAATATAACACAATATTGTTCTCCCGTTTGAAAATGAACCCTATTTTTATTCTACAATGTTAGTTAGTTGCACTTTATTATTATTGCATTGAAATTATCTATAGCTAAAAAAATTTCCCCTGCCGCCCACAACTTGTTTTGGGTCGCAAACCACCAGTTGAGAACTACTGCTATATAAAGTATACCGCCCTTTTTTATTTGATGTATTTCTTCTAATATTTAAGTAATGTGATAGTAGTTTGACTTTTCCCTCACTGGTGGATAAATATTGACTCGGGGAGGGAGTCATCTCAACGCATCTGAAGACGTATTGATGTACTCTGAAGAGACTCAATGATACAAGTCCCAGGGATTCCAGAATGATCCTTTGAGAATTTATTTTAGTCCAATAAGAATAAGCTGTTTTTGCCTCCGTCTTATTTGAAGTGAAGAAAACGCGTAGATTTAAAGTGATAAACAATATGCAATGTTTGGAAGTGAGCAACAGTAGTTTCAGCAAAGAATATGATGCAATACTTGTAAAACACAATTGGGCAAACACATTTCACAATTTGAGTTTCCATTGCAAAGCATTTTCTTCTGTTAAAAACAACTGCGTTTTGGTGTTAAAGTCAACATGGAAGCAACAATAACCCTAATTACATTTAAATGCATGTTCCTGGTTTACTGTGCATGATTTGCTGCTGTATAATACTCTGTAATGTGATAGTAGTTTGACTGTTCCCTCACTGGTGGATAAATATTGACTCGGGGAGGGAGTCATCTCAACGCATCTGAAGACGTATTGATGTACTCTGAAGAGACTCAATGATACAAGTCTCAGGGATTCCAGAATGATCCTTTGAGAATTTATTTTAGTCCAATAAGCGGAGCTGTTTTTGCCTCCGTCTTATTTGAAGTGAAGAAAACGCGTAGATTTAAAGTGATAAACAATATGCAATGTTGGAAGTGAGCAACAGTAGTTTCAGCAAAGAATATGATGCAATACTTGTAAAACACAATTGGGCAAGTCCAATAAGAATAAGCTGTTTTTGCCTCCGTCTTATTTGAAGTGAAGAAAACGCGTAGATTTAAAGTGATAAACAATATGCAATGTTTGGAAGTGAGCAACAGTAGTTTCAGCAAAGAATATGATGCAATACTTGTAAAACACAATTGGGCAAACACATTTCACAATTTGAGTTTCCATTGCAAAGCATTTTCTTCTGTTAAAAACAACTGCGTTTTGGTGTTAAAGTCAACATGGAAGCAACAATAACCCTAATTACATTTAAATGCATGTTGCTGGTTTACTGTGCATGATTTGCTGCTGTATAATACTCTCAATCATTTGATTCGCTCTTGTTTTCGAACCCTTTCTCTTAACCACCTGTCACACTTTCCACACTCCAGTCATTTTCGACTGACAGTTTTGTCTTGTTCCACTCAAAAATGTCGATTTATGGAAGTAAAGTGGGTTGTGAATGTCATTCCGTGTTGACTTTAACATAAAGTTGGTGAACAGTTAGAGCTCATTAAACAAAACCTGGATGTGGTTGTAGGCCTAACAGCTGTCTCTGACCCTGATGCCTTTAGGTGATGCTGCTGGGAGACTCGGCAGTGGGGAAGACCTGCGTCCTGGTGCGCTTTAAAGATGGTGCATTTCTGGGAGGCAACTTCATTGCCACAGTGGGGATTGACTTTAGGGTGAGCCAGCAGTGGATGGAGCTGGTTTGCTTCTCTTTATACAACATGTTTATATCTACTGATGGAGGTCATATCAAGAGGAATCTATTTTTTGTTGAACTGAAATAAGCGTTTGATGTATTGTAAGTTTCGGAGCTAAAAGTTTTGTTGCCTACTGGTTTAAATGCTCAAGCTCTTTAATGTCAGGTGAATTTGAATTGGCTCTCCATATTTGTATTATGAAATCTGATCAATACGGTTTGATTTTGCAAAAATTATTGGAATGTTAGTTATGAATGTCCTCTAAATGTTCTGAAACAAGTAGTAATGTCTAAAAATGCATAAGACATGGAGTGCATACCATATTAAATGTTCAAAAAAGTTCCATGAACAATGTATAAATAATGCATTTTAGAACTTTTAAACAACATTCAAATGAACATTCTGTTTACATGTTAACCAGTGTTCTGAGAACATCCTTTTAGCTGGGTTCTCATAGAATTAGAATGTTTATACAGTGGTTATAAACATCATTACAGTTATCGTCTTTGGTGTAAACAAGCTAGCCTTTACATCGTTTTCTATTTAACTAACAATAGAAGTATGCCTATGATGTCAAGAAAGAGCAGCTTGTTTTAAAAAAGTCCATGATTGTTTCAGTCTCATCTTAACAGTTTGAGTTGCGCATTTTAGTGCAGATTGTTTTATGAATCACACAAATGTCACAATATAATGCCGCTTTGCCAAGAGGCTGTTGTTGAAGGATGAGACATCACAAACTATATTAGACCCCGAAAGCAAACCCGCAGCTCACAGCAAAGTGCTATTGCTCATGTGAAGAGGGTGTTTATTCCACAGACTTCGAGATAATTTACCCAAAATTGAAAATTCTGTCATTTACTTGCCCTCATGTCGTTCCAAGCATGTATTACTTAATTTCTTCTGTGGAACATAAGAAAACAGATTTTTTTGTTGTTGCTTTTTTGTCCATTCATTGCACTGGGCACAAAAACGGTTTCATTACCAGCATCCTTTAAAAATATTTTTTCTTAAATTCTGAGAGTCAGAAAGTGGGAGCAAATTATTCATCAAAATCTAATATTATAAGTGGACCTCAGAGGCAAAAAACATGATGCTTAGAAAAATATGTTATGACCCTTTAACACTTACATCCAGCATCTAATCAATAAGCTGTTCTGGCACTCCATCATTGAGAGGTTGTGTGTGTGTGTATTCACTCTCCATTGGCATTTAACTGTGCAAATCTCTGTGGTCTTCTGAAGTGGTACTGGTGCAGTCCAGCAGCCTCTCAGACAAATCTGTGAAGCCACTGTGCCACTCAAGGTGTCTTGGAGTGTTTGGATATAACAGGCCAATTTTATGCTCGTTCACGTTTCAGTCTGGCTAAATGATTAACCCGTCGCCACGTGACACTTTGGGTCTTGAGCTGCACCTGCCAAGCACTTGGTTGGGGAGAAAAAGAGAAAATATTTGGTTAAAACTTACCTGGGGTGTATTTAAAGTCGGCGTGAGATAAAAACTCACCTGTACTATTTTCCAAATGCATGTTAATGGTCTTAATGTGAATGATTCATCCATGCATATTTATTAAAAAAAAAAATTATCTGACCTTGCAATCTGACATATGTTGGACCTCGAGTAATTTAGTCCACTTAAACTCCGTCCCTCCATAATTGACTGCAAGCTGGAATTAGTTTTTTAGTGCAACGGCCACATCTCAAAATCCAGTCAACAGAATAGAACCCTACCAAGTCTCACATTACGTTTCCTTTTACAATAATCTGTTACACTTTGTCGCAATACGGAAGAAAAGATCTGTTCAGTTTCATCAATACTTTAGAGACCCAGTGAAATGATGCATATCCTATTAAAACAAAGTTTGAGTGTGACCTATCAAAGAGCTCATCAGCCTGTATTTCATCATTTGCTATAGTTACAATTACTACCGTCATTGTAGAGAGCATTTGATTGGACAAAAATTGGTATACGCCCCTAAATGCAAGATGAGTCATCAATATTTCGGGTTTATTTTCTCAAACTGAGAATTTAAAATTTGTCAGAGTCATGTTTTCATTTTTTGGAGTCATCACGGTTGATACACCAACACACTAAGAGGCCGTTGTCAGTTGGCGTTAAGGGTGCGCATTTTAGTGGAGGAAAATGAAGTTTGTCATGCTCCACTAATAGATTTTTGCCCTCAAGCCAACACAGTCAATTTGGTTTCACAGTGTGTGTTTTTGCAAGAAAGTGAAGGTTGGCGTAAAAGACCTTGAAACGGTCAAGGCTTAGCATGTGATGTGGACCGGTTTCGAATGTCAGATTCGAGTAGAAAGTGCCATGCTTTCAGACAGAAGGTGTCTTTAGGAAGTTCAAAAAACCTTTTAAACCCTCATTCTTTGATCGCCTGCCAACAACGTCTGAAATGAAGCATCTTATCTGCTGCGGCTCAGGGAAACAGTGAAGCGTTTCGGTGCCGGTTTCTTATTTTTTTTTTTTGAATGGCACAGCGGCAGCACTATAGCCTGCGTCTATTTTGGGCTCTTCCTTGTAGCACTTGCTCAGCATGAGGATGTGTGGGAGCCAGAGCAGAGCAAGTCTGATGCCAGAGAAATGGAAAGCCATTACAACAAATTGATGGCTATGCTTGATTTATGCTGGATAGGCAGAGGTGCTGAAAGATGTATGTTTTTTATAAATGGATATCCTTTCCGGTGTTAAAAGGGCCTCGTAACTGAAACAAGGTTGGGTTTCCATTTCTCAAATAATAGGTTGAGACTTGGAGAGATCAAGCAGATTCCTAGCGCAACTGATAGATGAATATCCTATAGTCATATATCATCGCCACTGCAGGAGTGGAAATAGTAAGGAATGTAACGATTTTGGCTTTGATCCCAGTCTTTTAACATTTCCATTATTGATTCTATTAGTACTTTCGAGGAAATACCATCAATATTGGTTCATGACTGACACTAATTTAAAGACATAGTTCACCCCAAAAAAAAAAGATTGTCATCTCACCTTCATGTCGTTCCAAACATGGAAGTGAATAGTGACTATTGGAACAAATAGGAATGCCAAAAATTATTTTCGTTGTAGTTTCCATTTAGCATTATAGAAATTCACTTAACTATGATGACTTCTGCTTATGAGAAACCCAGAAATGTGAAACGGGTCCATTAGCTATTCCATCCGGAGAAGAAAAAAAACCTTTTTGATTATTTATTTATTTTCGAAAGCAAATGCAAAAATATCAATACTTGAGTATTGTTCAAATTTGGTATTATAAAACTGAAACGGTTCTGAAAAAGAACCAATTCTCAATTCCCAATCCTAATCAGCACTACAGTTTTTCTCAGTGGATTTAATTTTATCTTATTCTGCAGCTTTTGTTGGCTTGCCCTTGGACAAACAATGAGACATCTGAGCTCTGCTGAACACACTTCTGTCAAGAAAAAGATTTGTGTTTTCATTCAAGTCAGATATGCAATGGTGCTTGAAGGAACAATGGAGACATATACCTGCGTTCTTATTGAACCGGTTAATGTTCTCCTCAAATTGCTTTGAGCTCTGTTCTGATTTAATTTATTCAGAACTTCCTAGAAGGAGTAAGCAGCCAAAGTGTGTCTTTGTGATTACGATTACTCTATAGTCCACCACATAAGCAGTTTTGTCATCATTTACTCTCCTGTTGCTGATAATGTGACATGATGAAAAGGTGAAGGACGCCGTTTCTGTGTAACTGGTGGCAACTACAAATCAAACTACTTTGTGTTTTCTCTGCATGTTAAGCTGAGAAAGGAGAAAGTGGCGATAAAATGACATGCTTCAGCTTTAAACACCTACGTTTTTGATCCGTCAGCATTAACTACAGTCGGCCTAAATGGGTGCCTGTATGTGAATGTCTGCGGATGAGAATTACTCATCTCTGAAATTCTCACTTCCATTTGTGTGACTGATGTCTCTGATTGCATTGCCCTTTGGTGCATGAAAACATCTGATAAGTCTGGTCTTCTCAGTGCAGAAGGTGCCATTTTTAAAACATTTAATTCACAAAGGAAGTAACGGCTGACGTCAACAGGAAATTAAGCAGGGAGCTGGTCTGTTATTTCATCTGCACTATATAATTAAGTCTATGTGGAGAGCCTGGCCACACATAAGCAAAATTGCACAGTTAAGAGATCTCACTTTAGTATTAGCTAAATTGTTTTCCGATTTGGTTGTGCGTGATTTCCTTGAATAACAAACTGTTTACTGTTCATTATTTTGTCTTCCATTTGTGAAAAAGTGAAATGTAATTTTTTTGTGTTTTAATGGGTGTTTCTTTTTCTTCCTGTTGCTTGTAGAATAAGGTGGTGACTGTGGATAACATGAAAATCAAACTCCAGGTAAGCAAACAAGACAAGCATCACTATTAATTATATTGATTTGAGTACTGTATTGAACTCCTGTCCTGTACTATTTGTCATATGGGCATGAATAATGCCTCAAATCATGCAACTTGAGCAGACGGCTGCTGTTATGATCAGATGATAAAACGGATTACACACATCCCATAGCTTTAGAGTGAAGGAGGGAGCCAGTATGCATTACAAATTACACGAGTTATGTAATCAGATTACTTTTTTCAAGTAACTAGTAAAGTAACGCATTACTTTTAAATTTACAAGAAAATACATGAGTTACTTTTTCAGGTAAGTAACACAAGTTACTTTGTTTTCCCATTTATTCACTGATGTCTCTCCTGTCTTCATGTTGAGAGAAATTGGGCGCATTGGCACTTCCTTCAGCCTGACGCTTATTTATTTGTTTTGTTGTAAAAGGGCCTTTACAGTTGCCAAAAATATAACTTTTTCCTCATTTGTTATTAAAAATGAATGCGCAAGCCCAGCTCAGGTGACAAAAAGAAACACGCAAGTAACATAATGGATTACTTTCCATAAAAAGTAACTAAGTAACACAATTAGTTACTTTTTTTATGGAGTAACGCAATATTGTAATCCATTACTTTTAAAAGTAACTTTTCCCAACACTGGAGGGAGCCGAGCTGTATCTACAGACCAGAATGTCATAAAGACTATGGAGTGAACTCTTACTTGGAAATCACTGATAACTCCTTAGCAACCACCTAGGAATGCCCTAGCAACCAGCCAGACTGCATGTGGTGGTGTGTTTTGCACAGGCAAGCATCGCTCACATTTTCTTCACAAAATTCAATTTGGTTGGCCTCCTGCCTGTTCAAAGACCAGGTTTATTACATCAGGACGAAATCACAAAACAAATTATTTGTAATGGTTTCAGGTTTCTCTCTTTCTATAACGGATTTGGAAAAGTTAACACATTTCAGATGTGGTTCATGTTGATGCGTAGGGTCAATTCAGGTTAATTGGGACATTTTTTTCCCCCAGTCAAGTGTCCTAAATGTACCCCTTCATGACCTCTATGCTTCACCTGTTAACGCTCCTCTCCTGCAGATGTGGGACACGGCCGGTCAGGAGAGGTTCCGCAGTGTTACTCACGCGTACTACAGAGACGCTCAGGGTAAATATGCCACCTTCATTTTATTACAAGTCTTTTTAAAGCAGTAAGTCATGTAGGGCCTTGCATTACCTATTTTTTACCATAGGTCTCAGGTGTTCTTGGGCGTGCCACAAAGTGAAGTAAACGGGTGGAATGACTAATGTTCAGCCTCAAGTGACTTAATGCTTTTATAAAATAGCGGCAATAACAACATAATAAAAAACATTTGATACTAATGTTCAAAAATAATTTAATTTTTTTGATTTTCTTTTATTTTGATTAAATATTGCTTTAAATAAATGTGTAAATTTGCCATCGTTAAACCTTATGTAAAAATAAAATAAAATAATAATTGGCATCAGCCACTGTGTTCTCTGCTTATTGGTCTTTGAAAAGTTGGTGTTCCTAGTTGCAAAAGTGGAGTACACTGGTAAAATCACTGTAATGTTCTCCCTTGGGTCGTTCCAGTCGTTCCACTGTAATGTTCTCCCCCTAGTTCGTTCCAGGTGTAGAATAGATATCAGTTCATCAAGCCATAGTTTGGCAGCAGGAGGGTTAAATAAAATGTTTTAAACCAGTGCTGAATAAATTTACATGTACATATTCCACTTTACAGGTTGGTTCGACTCTCCCATTGTCAATACAAGATCTCGGCCAAAAATTAACACGACTCTTGATGGAAAAAAATGTTAATGTTGTATGACGTTGTCGAAACAATGCCACAATGAAAGTGCAATGTTATAAAAGCTAAAGGCGGTCAATGAAGTAGTAGACTGTGAAACTTGTTTTGTACAGGCAGTGTAAAGTTGGCTCAAGCACATCCCAAAGTCTTTCAATGGGGTTGGGTTCAGGACTCTGTTGTGGCCAGTCTTTCACAATTTGAGCCTGATGAATTTTGGTATTGTCATCCTGGAATATGTGCATGGGTCTTCCAACATGGCAGTTTGAGAAATAAAAATCTACGCACTGCATCAGTTAGGGTTAAAAAATTCCTGACAAAAACACAACATGCCAGAAACATTAATCAATGCAATAATGATTAATTCATTAAATCTGATGTATTTGCCTATTTAAATCCAAATGGCAACATATAAACACACACACCCATAATATATATATATATATATATATATATA